TGGCGGGGTGCACACCGCGAAATGCCCTTTCCTTTGTCGGCCATTTGGACCGATTTTACATAGCATTCGTGAGATGCGCTTTGCGATCCGCTTACCTCCCCTATCCCTGTTGGTGTGGGGAACTTCATCTTGAGATGATAGATGGAAGTGACTGCCCTTAAGGTTCTCAGCAGAGGTCATCCTAAGATCTCATTGAAGGCAGATGGGCAGTCCACGACCAAGAATTCTGTAACCCTAGTCACCTCGTCGTAGTCGCCGAGCGTGACTGGGAGCTGGATTGTTCCGCTGGGGATCAGGTGATCCCCTGTAAAACCGTACAGAGGCATCGAGGCTGGCTCCAGGTCGGCCTCGACCAGGTTCATTCTATCGAAAGCAGATTTGAACAGAATGTTCACAGCGCTTCCATTGTCCACAAGCATTCTGCAGACATTATGACACCCTATCAGGGGCGTGATTACCAGAGCATCCTCGTGAGGATGGTGCAAGCGAGCTGCCTCCTTCTCGCAGAAGGAGATTGGTTCCTCTTTTCTGGCTTTCTGAGGTCGCTGCAAAGTATTCATTACCCTGATCGGGTCATGGTGCACTTCGCGAGCATATCTTTCCTGCGCCCCTCGCGTGTTTCCCGCGAGGTGCGGGCCTCCGAAAATTATGTTAACACTATCATACCCGCTGCGATCACGGCGTTTTTTCTTTCGTTCCCCTTGGTTTTCTTTTGGGGAGTCGTCAATGTACTCCTTGAAGTGCCCCTTCTTGATGAGCTCTTCGATAGCCTGCTTTAGAGCTCGGCAATCATCAGTGAGGTGCCCATTATCCCGATGGTAACGACAGTACTTTTTGCTGTTTCTGGCCGTAGCAGGGGTTTTCATGGGTTCGGGCTCACCGAGCAGGCTGGCCTCCTCGGATTTATCGAGGATTGCAGATACGAACACATTCAACGGAGTATATTGAGCCCCGTCGCGATCGCGACGAGGAACAGGAGCATAGGATTTTTTCTGCTCGTAGCGGGGTTTTTTCCCTTTTCGCTGATCGTCAGTGTCTCCTTTGCGATCAGCTCGCCTCTTATCTCCCCGACCAGGCGTACTGCTGGAAGTGCCGCGATCGCGACGGCGGAGTGCCGCGAGCGAATTCTCTATCCGGAGATACTTTTCTGCCAGGTTATAGAACCTGGTGAGGGAAATGTCGTCCTCAGCCTGCAGTTCTTTCCACAGGTCGGTTTGTGGGCGAACTCCAGCTATTATAAGGGTTCGGATGGACTCTTCTGGAGCGTGTGCCATTTTGTTGAGTTCCCTGTGGAAGCGGTCAATGTAAGACTGCAGGGATTCGTCTCTTTCTTGCCTTATGTTGCTGAGGTAGCTCAAAGGCATTGAAAATTTCCGGTTGGCTTGGAAATGCCGCAGGAACGTCGTGCTCATCTGAGGCCACGAACTGATCGATCCCGCTGGGAGCGACCTTAACCACCGTTTGGCGTGAGAAGTCAGCGTCACGACCAAACAACGGCATTTCGCGAGGTCCGAAACCTGGTGGAGCTCCATCAGGTCGTTGAACTCATATAAATGATCCTGCGGATCATAGTTTCCATCAAACGGTCACATATCTGGCATTCTGAACCCTGGTGGAAGTGGAGCAGCTAGCACTTCAGGAGAAAATGGGGATGTTGAGGCGACCTGCGCCTGTTCGTTTTGCTGCTCCCTTAACCTGTCTAAAGCTCGCTGCAACTCCTCAATTTGTGGTAACGGAGCCAACCCAGGGTTGCTTTCACCCATGCGAGCCCGGCCTTCCCGATTGTGGTTCAGGAGAGTTCGGAGGTCGGATCCCTCCTCGCCTCGGCCGGTATTTTCAGCCGCGCTTGACACACGCTGACTAGAGGCGTGTGAAGGCGATGTATTGTGCGGGGCATTTTCACGACCCTCGCGGTGGTACGAACCGCCCCGCGAGGTGTGGGGGCCACCCGCATGAGAACGATCGGGATCGTTCTGCTGGTGGTGATCGGAATCATCGCGCCCAGCATTTTCGCTTGGGTTTGCCTGCGACGTGGCATGGGACAGCTCGGGGTTTACTTTTTCACCGAGTCTCAGCTTTGCCGACACCCTGCTTGGGGCGCCTTTTGTATTCGCTGGCCCTTGGGAGCCCGTAGGCTTATTTTTTGCCACTTGCTGACCCTTGCGTTTACGCGCTGCAGTGCTCGCGGCACGGGCTATTGCCCTTTGCCGCGCTTTCGCGAGACCTGCAGGGGTTTTTGGCGGTTGTACCGCTCCGGCTGTCGTAGATGACATGCCCTGGTCCAACGGTCCAACCTCTGGTTGACCGTCTGGAGAGTATTGTCAAACCTCTCTAGGTAGCTTCTGATAGCAGGGTCCAGCTGCGGAGCTGCTGGGGTATTCCCAGCGGCATTTTGCGAAACTGGAGGTATGTTGGAAGGGGTGTCCCTCTGGGCCTAGGGGACTCCTTCAGCATGCTGGTTCACCTGCTCAGGTTCAAATTGGCGGGCCATTGTAGCTGTGAGACCAGTAGGTCAAAGATTCTCCTGATGAAGGGTAGACACTAAATCTTTCGCCCTCCTTCTAGCGCCAAACTGTTGATGCTCGTTTTTGGCACCAACCAAATTGCCACGTGCGTACCGTTGATTGGCTGTTAAATACACATGAAAGCGAAATGTATAAAGAGAAATAAATGCAAAGGGAATTTTTTAAGTGGTTCGGATGCTGAGGTAGCAAATCCTACGTCCACTGATTTGTATTGATGTTGGTGTGAGTCAGGTCGCGAAGCGGACTGACATACATAAGAGTTATGAAAAGTAAGTGTTTTTTACAGGAGAGAGAGAGAGAGCTTTTTCATGCAAAGAATGGCCGAATCCCCTTAATGAAGGGGTCTTCGTCATTTTATATCAAACTGAAGCGTATAATCATCATTAAATCCATGGGTTGGTGTGATTGTCAGGATATAATCCGGCTTTACGTCCCATTTTCCTCTTTCCAAGCTGACTTCGCACGATTTATTGCAGGGAATTGGACGCGTGTGAGCTCCATATTACTTTGCAGGTCTGACGTGTGCGTGTTGCCCTGACGGGAGCAGGTTACCCTTCATGTGACTCTCCCACGTCAGCCCTTTATTTTCTCAGGCGTAACAATTAAGAAAAAAAAAAAGGACCTTTTTCGGCAATTCTTCATGAGGCGGGGAGAAGAAGAGGATTTGGGCTTGAGTGTGGCAGCTTCCATGGGGCAAAGATGTGAGAAAAAAAGGTTTTGAAAGAAGAAATGTGGAGGATTTTTATCCTTTCCTTGTTTTATCCTCTTTGTATTACACCTGCAACATTTATTAAAGATTCTTTTACATCAAATTTTATTCCTCTTTATTTAATGTTTTTAAGATTTTATTTATTAATCCAACAATGTGTTGAAATTGTCTGTATGTGGCATATTATAAAACGTTAATGGTAGTGTTAGAATCAAGAGCATGCATGTTATTGAAATTGTCTGTAAGTGGCATATTGTTAAAGGTTTTTTTTGCTTTCTAATGAAGTGGGGTAACCCAACTAACTCGATGTCAAGATGGAAATTGACATTGTTGTTGAAATAGTAATGGGATATCAGATGTGGAATAATGAGGGCATAATAATCAATTTATTTATGAAATATTTTATACATAAATTATAATTTAAGTTATCCAATCATTTTAATGCACGCTAAGTTGTATGTGTGAGTTTGTAAATTTACTATTATTGATCTATTATTAATAATCTTATAAGTACAAACTTTTTATAAAAATTCAAATATATAAATTGATTTGTTTTAGGATGATTGAATAATTTTAAACTAAATTGATATGTTTTATGTTTTTTTTATTGAATTTTTTTAATTAAAAAAGAGGTTTTGTTAAAAAGAACAATTATTTATGTTATATATTAAAAATAAAACCAATAAAGAGTAGTTCACAATCTAATATTATGAACTTTCTCTTACAATTATCTATGTCAGTTTACAATTAATCAATTCGTAATTAGTTAGTTCATAATTAGACAAATAAGACCCATTGAGAGCTACATATTTTCCAAAGAAAAATATGTACTATCTATATATTAAGTGAAGTTATATATAATAAAAATAATATTATACTCATAAACACTTTTCATTAAATTTCTCTCATAAATATGGTGTGTAACTTGCAATTGTTTAATTTAGTCTTGCATATTTAATAACGAGGCTCATCTGCCCAAACCAATTGCGAACTGTAGGATGTGTTGACCAGTGTTATTGTTATGTCAGAAGAAAGAAGAAAAGATTGAAATGTTAAGTCAGAAGAAGAAGAGAAGATTGAAAATAGTTGAAGAAAATAAGATAAGATTAAATGTGGCAGAAAAAGAGTTGCTTTGTTTTGAGGGAGCATGTTGACCAAGTGACTTTTCAATACAGTTGATTTTGCCACATAAGAATCAAAACTACACCGTTTTGATTATGCTCCTAAAGTCTTCTTCTTCACTCGTTAACTTTACTCCTTTGCTTATTACTCTGTAAACTCGTTAACGTCACTAGAACACTGAACCTAACGGTTCGCAATCGCAGCCGCTCTGCTTCACCTGGCCTTGGGCTCTCGGCCAGCTTCTAATGCTCGCACAAAAAAACAATTTCACGTCACGTCAGAGCACATGATGGTTTACACTTGATCTCTGAACTTCAGATAATGGCAAGGGGAAAGGAATTATAGAAGACTAACACGAGTTAGTCACTGGTTTGAATAGTCTTCAGCCCTCCCACATCATCTTGTTTTTGTGTTGTTCACTCATCATTTGCTTCATCTCTTTTCCTTCGTTTACAATAATGGCGCACCTACAATGTTGAGCGAGGGGATGAATGGTAGACCAAATGTTCGATGAAAGTAGTGTTAGACTCTCAAATACAATATAGTCCAAATTTGAAAATATGCAACACCAGTAAAATTTCAGTTTATGGTTCGTTCAATTGAAGAGAATGAATTGTATGTTCTCATCCATAAGTTTGTATTCCATGGTGCTAGCTGATACAAAATTCTCAAGAAGTAGAAGTGTAACTTTGATGGCACAGTCAAGTAAAAGAACTCATCACAAGAAAGTACCAAAGAACTTGCGCAATCTGCGGCGCACCAAACTTCCCCCTGACTTTGGGGTTAACTTGTTTTTAAAGAAACCAAGCAGTGACACTGGCCTATCTCACACATACTTTGATTTTGACGAGGAAGATAAAGGAGGAGGAGATGAAAGTGAAGATGATGAACAAGACAATGATACTGTTTGTGAATCAGAAGAGCTTGAAGCGATATCGTTTCTATTTCAGGGAAGAATTCCCCAAAAACCTGGAATGTTATTTAGAGAAAGGCCTCTGCCACTGCCACTTCCTCACAAATTGAGGCCGCTCAAACTTCCCATGTCAAAGAAGCATGTTCCCTTTGCTGCTCCAAAGATAGTCTCTTCACGTGCATCTATATGTAAGCAAGTGTACAAGAACCCAAATTTCCTCATCAGTTTAGCTACGGAGATCAAAGCCCTTACTTCAAATGAGGATGTGTCCGTGGTTCTTGACAAATGTCCTAGATTCTTGCGGAAAGGGTCATAATTGTCGTCAACAATTAGAGAATTGGGTCTGGGATTAAGGCTAAGAGTAATACTAAATATACATCATTTTTATGCAGTTTATAATTTCTTCCCGTCTTCATTTTGCACAAGGTGACAAAATAATTACTGGTTCATCGTACCTTTTCAGTATTCTTGAATGATTGAATAGACGAATAGTCATTAAGAGCTCGGTAGAGGGCAGTTGTATTGCGTTTAAATTCCTATAGAAAATTTATCTTGCGTCAGAGCAATAATGTATACATAATATTTTTAATTGATGTGATTAATTAATGGTGTTGACAGGTAAATACAAGGATGATTTGGTAGATGATGAATCAAACACCATAATCACAAATATTATTTGGGAAGATAGACTCAGAAAGATAATAACTTATACGATTTGGCTTTCTTCACAAAAAAAAGGAACTTCGCAAAATTAATAAATCTTTAAGTAAGATATTGAAATATTGAAATAATTAAGAAGAGAAATTTTTTTCAAATTTTTTGTGGATTTTTCGTAAATCCTTTTCTTGTCTCCGTAGCCAAGTTTTTGAATTAGAGAATGGAGATATGGGCAACAGTTGCATATATCATCTGCGAAACAATGTCAATCCAATGGATCCAGAAAATCCCCCTTCATCGAGATTCGAGGCTCGTTAATTTTCAACCATAAACCATCATACACTTTCACTGTAAAAGTAATTTTATTTGCTGGGCCTCCTGGACCCTGGTGACCTGGTCCCACATTCCTGTCCTCATATCATGTGCTAAAAAAATATTTATCAAACTTTTAATTATAAATGGTTTCTTAATTTGTTGAAGTTTCACTCCTCAATTCCTAACATCTCATTCCCTGAAGGCTATATGTATTTTTGTCTCTCTTTTTTTCTCTTACCCGTCCTATAGCGCATCAGAGAAATTGAAAACTTTAATCCAACGCTTGAAGAACTTCAGTCACAGCAGGACTCAGTGAGATCGAAAAGGTCCAGGTTTACATATTTATATGCAAACTGTTAATATATAGTTTACTAATTCTTTATGATATAAAATTTTCTGTAGTTTTTTAAACTTGAAACTTAGAAAAGAGTTTCCCAACCAAAGCATTAATTTTCAAGATTTTTGTTTAGAAATCCTAAAGAGTTTTGCTCTCGGTGTTGTCGTAATGAAAGTGTTGAGTGGGTGTTTTATGTAGTGAAATGGTTGGTCATTGGCATGCTTTTGTTTCGGAATTTCGAGTCAAATTAAAATAGAATTAGTAAAGAAAGACTTTAGCAACTCTTATACTTTTTTGTTATTTACCGATGATAAGCTGTATAAATAAACATCAGCAACACAATGTAAGATTAAAGTTTTCCGATCCTTATTGTGTTTATATGGTATCAGAGCACCTTAAGCTTTGACACCCTCTGATCCCCACCTTCAGTCTCATCCTCCCTTTATTCTTTTCCATCATTTACAGTGTTTATAAATAGAATAGGTAAGAAAAAGCAATTATCTACTCCTCAATCCAAACATTTTTGTCTCTCTCTTTTTCTCTTACCCCTCCAATCTCCATATCACAGAAATTGAAAAATTCGAAAACTTCTCTCCAACGCTTGAAGAACTTGAGTCACTGCAGGACTCAGTGAAATCGAAAAGCTCTCACACTTCCAGGTATATTTATATACATACTATTAATAGATTACTAATTCTTTATGATATAATATTTTCTGCGGCTTTTTTTTTTTTTTTAACTTTGAATTTAGAAGAGTTTCTCAGTCACAAAGGATTAATTTTCAAGATTTTCTTAATTAATCTAAGACAGTTTGCAATCAGTGTTGTCGTAAATGTAAATGGGGTAATAGTTATTATTATTTATCCAGTGCCGTCCTGACAAGTTAATGAAAGAGTTAAAGAGTGGGTATTTGAGTTGGGCTGAGCCAAGCCAACTGATTTTGCGAAATTTCAAGTGGTTGACAATTGGCATGCATGTATTTCGGAAAACAGGGATTTCGAGTCAAAATCGAATTATTAAAGGACTTATACAAAATGTTATATATAATAGCTTATTTTTTATTCTATAAAGAGTTATTGACTTTTTTCACCCAAATAATGACTTATTGACACTTTTCTACCCACGTAACGTTTAAAATATTATTTTATTATCCAAATATTCGATGGTGAACGGAGAGCAAACTTGATCTAAACTATTGGAGTTTTTTAAGAGGGGAGACTGGTGAGTCTTTTGGTGGTGATAGGTTAGATTTTGGTGGTCAGAATTTGACTTAGGAGGGGTAGTTGAACAAACCCTAATCACTCGATTACCAACAATTGGCGGGTTCCTTGAAAATAAGGTTTGAAGGGTTTCGGTGAGTAATGATCGAGGAAGAAAATGATGATCGTTTGGAGTAAAAAAAATGTCAGAATCGATCGACAATTGTTTTGAATAACAAACGAAATATAAATTTAGATAGTAAAGAGGCATTTTAAAAAAAGGTGAGTGGAAAAATGCCATCAAGCCATTATTTGTGTGAGAAAAAGTCCTTTACTCTTCTATAAACACTTTTAAGGCATGACACTTTTGCGGTACAATGGTCAACTCTAAATAGTATATTTGTAATTGAGTTGGTCAAAATCAGTCAGCTGTAAAATTTAATGGAAAAATCTAACAATAGAGGGTGTACTTGAAATTTTTGCAAGTTATGGGTAAAAATTAAGTTTCAAAAGTTACATCGTATGCCCTTCTTATCCCTAAAGCCCCATTTGCGGATTGTGTTTTGGTTTTATTATTGAGATTGATTTATTTTCGGCTACTTGATTGGGGTTTAGGTGGTGTTGATGTGGTTTTTTTTTTTTTTTTTTTTTTTTTCAAAGGTTATCTGTAGGTGTTTATTTGGCTGTAGATTGACTTTAATTTGGATTTTTATGGGTTTTTGTATAAACTTGCTTTCCCTTCTTCATTGAAGTAGATTTGGCTCTTCTAAAGGAGTTTGGTGAGTGATGGCTCTGCGTTGATTTTGATGTTTTTCTTTGGTTTTTTGTTTTTGCTGGGCAGGGAGAAAAGGTGGGGGCGGGGTAGAGGAAGTTCTGGTATTTACAAAGCTATATGATAGTACAAGACCAAAAAAAAAAAAAAAATTATTATTGTGTTTTAGTTTAGAGCGACATTCGAAATTTTACCGCTCTGTAAAATGTCAGGTCCCAAAAGCCATAATAGCTCACTAATGTTAAGGGTATCTTTTGTTATTTTCAATATTTTAGCTGATTTTTGTAATTAATTAACTTAAACCTCAGGCGGTTGGCAAAAATCCCAAACATTACTTAGTGAAGTTTGGCTTTACTTAACCCCCCAAAAAACAAAAAAAAAAAAAAAAAAACAAAAATGGTTTGCCTTTAAGAAATAAACACCCTTCAGGTTTGGTGAATCAGTGTAGGTGATAATAAGACTCAAAGATTTAAACAAATAATATTACAAGATGAAGCATTTATATCACATCATTCACATGATAAGACAATTGATATAGGTAAGAAAGGACAACATAAACAAATAAATTTATCTAATAAATTATACCATTCTGGTTTGTTTAACATTTATTTTTTTAATTTACATATTTCATAATATTATTTTTTATTATGAAGTTTATAATTTGTTTATTAAGGCCCTGATTCAGTCGGAAGAACTAGAAATCTTCATATAGAAAATCTCACATCACGTTTTTACTTTTTATACGTTATCATCTACGTAAACAAAAATTTATTTGGATGAGGAGATACAATTCGATGTAGGATAAACTCCTCTTTTCTTTTTAAATAATTAAGCAAAACACATGTACTATTTAGTGTTAGGCGATTTGAGATGAATAATATAAGATTAAAATCACATCATATAAAAAGAGACAATATCTACGTGATTCGATATAACCCATCTATATCCACGGATGAGAGAAATCTATTATAGTTTCATGAACACAATATACAAAAGCACACAAAATCATAAACCCAGTACATAAAACAGAGCAAAAACATGCTAATCTTTAACTACGCTCAATCCAATACCAAGAGTGGAAATGATCTCAGTTTCTAATACTCTCTCTATGGTGTTTGTAGATGCAAAAAATCTACCGTCATAAAATAGGGTCTGATCCCGTGAGGTTGAGGCTACTGACAATCCACTAGACCTGTACACATGAAAGGGCAAGCATGAAGCTTCCGAAAAACACCGGGGTGGTGTTTTCCGTAGGCCCTCCGACGCTCAAGTCAGCGAGGCTGAAAGAGATTATTTGATAAGAATTAAGGAGATGAGGAATTACTAGGAGTCTTGTCGGAGGCTAAGACTACGGCGGAGGCGTTGGTTTTTGAAAGCAAGAACTTTAGGAGCAAATAGATGGTTTTGAATAGTGTAGATTGACTGTGGGAGATTGCCTTTTAATGAGAGGGCAAGCCTTTGTTTTTATAGTGAACCCAAGGGGTTGGAATCCTAGTAAGACATTGAGTCCTCTTTTTTGGGAGATAATCCCTATCAAGAAAGAAATATGATTTCTTGACCTTATCAGATTAAGTTTAATAGTTTAAATAAGATTTAGAATCTCAGTAGGACACTAAATCCTATTTTGGGAGATAATCCCTATCATGAAAGAGATCTGATTTCTTGACCTTATTGGATCAAGTTTAATAGTTTGAGTAAGATTTGGAATCTTAGTAGAAGAGGAAATAGAATGGGATTCTAATTTCCTATTTATAGACTATTGCAGGCTAATGGGCTGAAACCCAATTTAGCTTAACTTATAGGATAGCCCAACTCATAGAGTGGATAGTTCGTAAGGTGATTTTAAGCGTAGGCCCAATCGGGATTGGGTTAAGGCCTTGGGCCGTGACATGTTTATTTCGTTATTGGGCCTTTGTCAAGCCCAAGATGATTTTTGGCCCTGACTGAGCGGATTAGTGATAGCAGCTCATTAGGTCGAATGGATCGTTGTGTGGATTGGGTCGATGACTTGTCGATTTGAGGTGTAAGAACCCTTTAACCGGTTTGGCCGACTGAATGTGTAGCTTTATGGACCGGACATGGCCAATCGAAGGCATAAATCCGTGAATCGAGCAGGGTCGATCCGAAGGTGTAAATCCGTGGATCGGCAGGGTAGAGCCGATAGTGTAAATTTGTGGATCAAACAGGGTCGATCCGAAGGTGTAAATTCGTAGATTGGGCAAGGCCGATCCGAAGGTGTAGATCCGTGGATTGAGTAGGGTCGATCCGAAGGTGTAAATCTGTGGATCGAGCACGGTCGATCCGAAGGTGTAAATCCATGGATCGGGCAGGGCCGATCCGAAGGTGTAGATCCGTGGATGGAGCAAGGTCGATTCGAAGGTGTAAATCCGTGGATCGGATAGGGCCGATTCGATGGTGTAAATCCATGGATCGGGCAGGGTCGATCCGATGGTGTATGCCAAGTAGAGCTTGTATGGAGCTTGCAGTCAAGTCGGCGTGATCGACTTACAGTTGAAACCTTTGAGGGCTATATGGCCCAGTCGGCGTGACCGACTTTGTAGTTGAAAACATTCAATTGAAGCTGGAGCAGTGACATGCATGGCATGCATGTTTTAAGCAAATAGTCAAATTGAGAGTTAATATACATGATGTGCATATGTTATGGACTGAATAAAGAGTGAGCTAAATGGAAAAATGGGCTGCATGTATTTAAGTAATGGGCCGAATAGAGAAAGATTTAACCAAATAGAGTGGTAGTTAAAAGGAGACAATGACACATACCTTTCCCTTTCAAGTGCTGCCACCCATGCTTGCTGGACCGAGTGGAGAGAGGGGTGTTACTTTCTATGTCGGAGCTAAACCAGTTGAAGTTGAGTGGGCCCGTGATTCACTTTTGGGCTGATCTGAATGGGCACGTTGATATTGTATGTGCAAACTCAAATATCATTGAGCGGACTACTCATGTTATTTAGTGGTGGGGAGTGAAAAGTTTGCAAATAGCGGGGAGCGTAAGGGCTTTTGTGACAAGTGTGCTGGAGATTGTGATGTGAAGGTGGTTTGAGTTGACATGTATTGGTTGGGAAGGGGCGTGGTTCGAGTTTGGAGTTTTGGAATACGATGGGGAAAGGAGATTAGGCGAGAGTGGGGTGGCGTCACTTAAGCAGGTTTTGTTTAGGGAGTTTCTCTTCGTGTTTAGTAGATGACTTTAGGTGTTTTGAGAGGATTACTACTGTGTTTTTAGGATTTTACTGTGTGATTGGAGAAGCTGTGAGGGCGATTTTATGAGAACAGATGGATGGGTTTTGGGTTTCAAAGTAGTGGCAAATCTTTGTGAAGTTGAATTGGGATTGGATCAAGGCTGGTCGAGTTTGAGTTACCTTCTAATTGAGCGGAGGTCCTACAGATGCTGGCGTATTGCGGCATCTTCTTGAATGAACAAATTGACTAGTTTTGTGGCGGGTAATGCATTGCAAAGCTCTAATGACGTTGTGGACCACCTGGTGCTTTGATGATTGAAGTCAAAAGGCGCGTGCATAGAGGTTAGAGACAGAAGCTATTGCCTTATCTGAACAGAGGATTAGAGAAGAGAGATTTTTGAAGCAAAGTCAATGAATCAAGTGGTTTAGGAACACCACTTTAAACTCTGACACATTATTATTCTATTATTAATTTAGAACAATAATATGAGCTTCAAAGTCTTATACTACCCACTGAATGGATATAATATAAAATAAATTACGATATGCCAAATAGATATAATATAACATGTGAATAGATAAAACAAACAAAGAAAAAAAAAATTCTTATCATGATGAGATTCTCTGATTAACATTGTCATTCAAATGTGATGAGATTCTCTGATTAACATTGTCAGTTAAAAGGAGTTTCGTATCGCCTCCCATGTTATAAGTCGTCGTTGGCAGATGATTGTCAAGGCCCCACGGTGGGCGCCAAACTGTAGATGCAAAAAATTTACTATCATAAAATAGGGTCTAATTCCGTGAGGTTGAGGCTACTGACAATCCACTAGACCTGTATACATAAAAGGGCAAGCATGAAGCTCTCGGAAAACACCGAGGTGGTGTTTTCTGTAGGCACTCCGACGCTCAAGTCAGCGAGGCTGAAAGAGATTATTTGATAAAAATTAAGGAGATGAAGAATTACTAAGAGTCTTGTTGGAGGCTAGGACTACGGCCGAGGCGTTGGGTTTTTGGAAGCAAGAACTTTAGGAGCAAATAGATGGTTTTGAATAGTGTAGATTGACTGTGGGAGATTGCCTTTTAATGAGAGGGCAAGCCTCTGTTTTTATAGTGAACCCAAGGGGTTGGAATCTGAGTAAGACATTGAGTCCTCTTTTTTGGGAGATAATCCCTATCAAGAAAGAAATATGATTTCTTGACCTTATCAGATTAAGTTTAATAGTTAAATAAGATTTGTAATCTTAGTAGGACACTAACTCCTATTTTGGGAGATAATCCCTATCATGAAAGAGATCTGATTTCTTGACCTTATCGGATCAAGTTTAATAGTTTGAGTAAGATTTGGAATCTTAGTTGAAGAGGAAATAGAATGAGATTCTGATTTCCTATTTATAGACTATTACAGGCTAATGGGCTGAAACCCAGTTTAGCTTAACTTATAGGATAGCCCAACTCATAGAGTGGGTAGTTCGTAAGGTGGTTTTAAGCGTAGGCCCAATCGGGATTGGGTTAAGGTCTTGGGTCATGATATGTTTATTTCGTTATTGGGATTCGTCAAGCTCAAGACGATTTTTGACCCTGACAGTGTTTAATAACCCTTTCATTGAATACTATGTGGTTTCACATTCTCTAATAACCTTGAGATATTATTTTTCTAATAGGATTCATATTCTAATTACTAATAGGACTTTCATAATTTTATTTCTATTTACAATTGTATTCTTCATTAAATAGTTTTCTTGAAAGCATACAATTTTACATGGAACAAATATAAAATCGAGCCAAGATAACCCAACATTTGGCTGTCTGCCCAAACATGTAGGAGATACAACCGAATTACGCTGGTAAAATTAATAAGAGGTAAATGTGCAAATCTTTTGTTGGATTATTCATTAATTTTTTCTTGTCTCTATATAGAGGGAAGTTTTTGAATTGAAGAATGAAGACGGACAACAATTTAAGAAGTTATGGGCCTTATCAGGCAGCCCTAAAAGACGACTGGGAAGGCTTGAAGAGCTTTTCGAGCCCCAAGATCTGGATAAAAAACAAGGACCAGCTGCTGCTTTGTCAACTCCTCTAACGGCGGCCGGCTACATTGCATTTCACTTGGTAGTGTTCAGCCAACGTGAAGAACCGCTTAAAAGTTTTCTTAGTATTGGCGAAAGCAACCCTATGACAATTTTTGACTTCTTGACAAAGAATGACTACGGAAACACAGCTCTTCACGAGGCTGCCGCCAATGGGAACATTGAGGCGGTAAAGCTCTTGGTGAATCACATTAACGAGCTCTCAGTTGGAGATTACGAACATCTATCTTCTGAGGCCCTTGAGGATAAAAATAATGAAGGCGAAACCTCTCTATTGAGAGCTGCTGCTTATGGGAAAACAAAAGTGGTGAATTTTTTAGCTTCAAAATCTTTAGCAGATGGTAAGCTGAAAGACAGTATCCACCGAAAAAAACATTGATCAGGAAAGAGCCTAAACCTGATGCCTCCTATCCGCCAGTTGGAAATCGAGAAATCAAGGAAGTGGTTCATGACGACAATTCAGCTATTGCGAATCAAGGAGAAATCATTACAGTGCTTGATGCCTCCATTCTGCACGTTGCCATCCAAGGACAGCATTTTGGTATCTTTCTCTGCCATATATATAGCTACTTTACTTCTGCTTTAAATTGATATATTCTACTGCTATGTCATGTGTGCTGAGTTCTTTTCTAATTTCTGCACAGAAACGGCTCTGGAGTTACTGGAGCTAGATGAATCGTTGCCAACAATGAAAATGGTTGTATCAGTCTTCTCCTGCTAGCAACTATACCCTCTGCTTTCAAAAATGGGTATCGAATGGGCGCATGGATCAACAGAGTCTTCTACTTTTGTATGTATTTTCCACCTTTCTATAGTAGCTAAAACTAGTCACTTTATCAGGTTATGGAGTCTGATCTCTATCTCCATAGTTCTCTATCAGTAGAGAGAATGAATTTATCTACCAAAGGTTTCTATCAACTATCGTTTAGTTCCTACATTTTAAAATACTAGAACTTACCTCGAATTTCACAAACGTTTACATTACCTATCAACTGTGACCACATTTTTGTTTAAAAATCTAAATACCCTTCATTTTGATATTGTTCAAATATTAATTGAATAATGATATAACAAAAGAAATAAAAAATTGCCACCATTTCTTTATTTTAAAGGGAGTATATCTCAGTATTTTAAACTGTAGGATTAATCCCTAGTAGACCTAAACCTGAGTTGGGTTCACTAATTAACTCTTCTTAATTAACATGTTTTTTGTAGGCATAAATTTATGTTTTGATATAATTTTGTTAAGACCATGTATATATATCATTGGATGTGTGTTATATATACACCATTGTATCTAAATTGTAAAATATCAGTTTAGTTTAACGTAATGAATCCACTGGTGAATATATATGGTCCTGATTAAATTTAATAATAGTGCGTTATTAATACTGCAATTACTTCTAGGATGAAATTCAATCATGCATGAAACAAAACGAATAAAAGAGTGAAATAAAAAAAAAAATTGAAAATATTTATTTAAATTATATAAATTTTCAATTTAAATAACGTATTTGTGTTAGCAGGAACAAATGCAAAGAGATTATCACTTGGTCTACAACCGGATAAGATTTTAAAAAATGTATATAAAAATAATATTTTAACATTTATTAATTGAAATCAATATTTTCTTATTATTAGTCAAAATAATTTAATTTTACAAAACTAATCTCTCTCTTAGTAAATTATTTTGATTTTCTAACTCTTGAACCACTTTCTCTTAAAAAAATAATTGTCAAAATTAATGAAGAAAGAAAGATAGAGAGTTATCATTGCTAAAATAATTTCATAATGTATCATTTTTGTCACTTATCATACATTTCTTCATCAAATTTTCTTTTTAATTTTACTAATGTTTTCAGTATGACCAATATAAATTTAAATATAAGCCCGGCTTGTGTTGACAATTGACTTGTTTTGTATAAAGTTTTGAAATTTACTGTAACCTCTAGGAAATAGCTTTAACTTTCTAAAAACTACATAACAGCTTTTATAAATTAAAATTTCAAAAAACTACCTACCACTGGCTTATGTGAAAAAAAAAAAAATATTAAATAGTCTCCTAACAAATCTTCTTCCTGCCCCCTATATGTAAGAAAAATCTCAAAAAGATCTTTATTTTTTCAACCAATTAAACTCGGGCCGAAAACCCGGGTAGAAGTGGTCTGGGTATTTAAAACTAGAACTTTTCCTCAAGTCCGGGCTCAAGATTTTTAAGAATTCGATTTTGACTTGAAATGTCTAGTTCAGAAAACAAGCATGCCAATATCCAACCATTTTACTACAGTAGTTGACTAGGCTCAACCCACTTCAAATAGCCACCCAACATTACCAAAAGACAACATTGAGAGCAATTTGGATTATTAAACAATATCTTGAAAAGTAACAGAAAATATTATATATATCATAAAGATTAGTAATCTTTTCACAATTTTTAAATATATATACCTGAAAGTATGAGAGCTTTTTGAAATCACTTGAGTCTAGCTATAACTGAAGTTCTCCATGCATTAGAGAGTGAGGAGAGAGGAGATCAAGAGGCACATCACAAATAGCCTGCTGGGAGATATATGTTTGAGGAGAAAAAACTTTAACTGCACAATGGAAATTATCTTCGGTTGGTTTTGGAGATATTTTTGGCAGTTTGAGAATATTTATAATCAAACCGTGGGTGGGAAATTGTCATTCACTCTACTATTTCTTTATCAATGAATCAAGTAAAGAACATAAACCACTTTAACTTTATGTACTTCCTCTTTACTTCTTATAAATTTTATAGCACTCTACGTAACCTGCCAGAAATAATTTATGTTACTTACGCATTATTATCAAATTAACCAATAATCCACTCAATTTAAATCTCCAATCTTTGATTAGTTATATTGTATAAATTGTATGATAAATCATAAATAAATTTATATGAATTATCACGATATGTAATTTTCACTTAACTCGGAAAACCTTTATGTGATTCCAATTACTATCTCAATGTACTATGTTAATTAATTAAGCAAAGAACATTTACTATTTGGTTTTTCTGTGCAATATATATGCAATTTTCACTTAAATAGGAGAACCTTTATGTGATTGCAAATATTATCTCAACCTACTATATGTTAACTAATTAAGCAAAAAACATTTACTGTTTGGCATATCGGACTGCCCAACTCAAGAACCGGTGCTTGACCGGATCAAAGCCCAGGTTGGGTTTAAAAACATTGGCTATAACCAATTCATTTTTTGTTTGTTGGTTTTCTTTATTTATTTTTTCCTATGTTTGTTTTTTAAGATGAATTCAAGAGGGAATCAGCTTAATATAGTAGACAAGAGACAAAAAAAAAAAAAAAAAAAACCCGTTCCTCTTGAATTCACCCTAGAAAACAACTGGGAAGGCCTGAAAAGAATTAATTAAGCAAGATATACACAATTCTAGTTCTTCTAAATAGATCTTAAGAGTCCAAAAGAGAAGCTTGATCACCACCTTTGCTTTACTTGTGGGTTTGTGTTCACTATTTATTTTTTCCTATGTTTGTTTTTTAAGATGAATTCAAGAGGGAATCAGCTTAATATAGTAGACACAAAAAAAAAAAAAAAAAAAAAAAAACCCGTTCCTCTTGAATTCACCCTAGAAAACAACTGGGAAGGCCTGAAAAGAATTAATTAAGCAAGATATACACAATTCTAGTTCTTCTAAATAGATCTTAAGAGTCCAAAAGAGAAGCTTGATCACCACCTTTGCTTTACTTGTGGGTTTGTGTTCACTGTCCCACAGACATGGAGAACAAATTATAATGCTTTTTCCGCAGAAAATGTGACAGTTAGCTTTATTTTTTTAATGTATTCTTGTTACTGTAAATTAATTACTAATGATCTTTTTACCATAATGTGCTTTATTTTTATTATATTCTTATTAGCAATGAGCTTTATCATTTATTCAAGTAAAGTAACGACACTTCTTCATTTACAAGGATTAAACTTCTTCATAAAAGCTTATGGAATATCAGAGAACACAACAGTTGTTATCTTCCTAAACCCGTGGTGTTAAAACAAGCGAGATAAAGAGAGAAGAGAAAAGATTTAGAGATCAAGGGCGACGAAGGATGAAGTAGTTCCAGCTCGAAAATCCATCAAGAATGAAACAGCCTTATCAAACAGCCTCACCGAAGGACTGTCAAGGCTTCAAGGAATTCTACGAAACCAATCTTGAAAGCTTGTGTTAGAACTCAAGCCCAAGAGAGAGCCCAACCCGAAAGATAGGTCTGATAGGTGAAAGAGCCCTTAAGATTAAGTACCACATTTGGTGAGTGTGAGATCCCGATATGAGATCCTAACATTGCACCCCCCTTCAAGAGCCGACGTCCACGGTGACTTTCACTTTATCGACACTGACCCAACGCTAGCCCTTTCCGCTTTGTGCGGCTTCACTCACCTATCAGTTATTCGATGTAGCACCCCCTCCCAAGGAGAGCACACTAGACTTTAATCTAGCCTGTAGGTAACCTTTTTCGCAGCCCAACTCTGAACGAAAGCACCAATGTTAGAACTCATGCACAGTATGGGCAGCCATCGATGCAATCCGGAAGGAAAAGAATAAGCATGAATCGGCTCTCAAGCTAGCTAAGTTTCTAGGTATTATGCAGGACTTTTTCAAGGACTTTCAGAAGGTTCTTACTGTGAAGAAGAAGAAGAAATATTGATATTCTATTCTGTAGCTTTATGTATCTGAATTTCCTTTTTATATTAATGGTGTGTGTAATCTAAAAGTATGCTATCGCCACACTGATTCATGTGTTGGGTTATTTTGCGAGAGAAATAAGGTATTTTTTTTAACAAATATGAGTTGAGACTAAGACCCAATGTGCCTAATGATAAAATTTGTTTTCAAGAATAAGACATTTTTTCTTCTATATACGTAGTAGATGCAATATGCACTTTTATGCATAGAGTTGATGGCGTACTTTACTAGTTTTAGTATTAATTTATAGACTCTGGTAATGGATATTCCTTACTATAGTAAGAACTGAAAAAGGATATTAACCAATTAATAGAGGTTAATTTGTAATCATATGTCCACTTATAGGAACTTAGTGTAATACAATTGCTTGTTAACTGTCTAATTTTCTCACAGGAACAACTCTAGAGTTACTTACTCTAGATGAATCATTAGCAGAATTGAGGACAGAGGCATTACAAGTCTTCAGCTACTACCTCATATGTCATCTGCTTTTAGAAGTGGATACTGCGCGACCTCATGGGAGAAAATTCTCTGTCCATACCCCCCACCATATTTCTAGCTCTCATAACAATATACTGTCACAATTGATTTATTCTATTTCCTAAACTAACAGGTCTTCCAGTTGTTTTTGATCATAATGATATCGTTGATGGCATTGATGATCATGGTAATTATGATGTTCATTCAGAGCGATCCAGAGAGCGGTCAGAGCAAGAACAAATACCGACGGTTCAGTTATTTAAATGTGTTAAATGTGAAACCTTAAAATGACACCATTTAACTTAAGCCAAGAAAGTCCAAAACGACACCATTGTGACTTAAACCGTCGCTCAATCCTGATCGTTGGTTTGAGAACAGATCTGACGACTGAAGACTTAAGTTGAGTCAAACCTATAAAAGCTGATGACTCTTCAGTTTTGAACTAACGTGTTTTTTCCTCTCTGTTTTGATATCTCTCTGAGTTACAAATTAGGGTTCAAGATTAGGGTTTGCAGTGTGGGTGTAAATCTATGGGAAATCTATCCATTAAGTTGTGTTTCTTAGTGGGGTGGGAACCTGGTGTAGTGTTCTTATCTCAGATTGTAGGTTTACTGTTGTTGTTCCAAATCCTGGTTGATCTTGGTTGAAATCTTGTAAGAGAGAGAGGTTGAGGGTTGTAACCGTTCTTGATTGAAATAGAAAGTGCAGCGAGCATCCATATTCTGGAGCTCAACATGGACGTAGCTTGTTCAATATTGAACAAGTGAACCACGGTAAATACTGTGTGTTGAATCTGTTTGGTTTGCATTGATTGTGTGTTTGTTGGTTGATGTTTGCTTGATTTGTTTAAGAGAATTTACAACAAAATGTCTCGAGAGGAATAAAAATTTCTCAAAACATTAAAAAACAGTGAGAGAAGATGATGTAATTTATCCTTTTGGTGCCAGATGTTTAGCTTCTAAACCCAATTTATCTTACACTTGATCATATAATATTTTTTTGGCGCTTTTAAAATCGACCGAAAATGAGTCTCCCTTAGCCTAATCAAGATCCAACACAAACAACACAGATCAAAGAACAGAAACAAAACAACACACAATCTTTTTACCGTGGTTCACTTTTTCAAGATTGAACAAGCTACGTCCACGTTGAGCTCCAGAATATGGAGGCTCACTGCACTATTATTATTGTCACCAAAGATTACAACACACCACTCAATCTTTCCTTCGAACCCTTTGTTACAAGAATCACACAGACTTCACTTCTATACCCGTAAATCTATAACCCAAATGAGAACTCTAAGCCTGATTCTCTACACTACAAAGAAACACAACTTTGATGGGTGGATTAACCACTGATTTACACAAAAGCAAAAGCCCTATACATGAACCCTAGCAGAGCAGTTTTAAGGGAGTAATTTGATCGAAAGAGACTGTCGCAAATGAGAGAGAAGTTCAGTTTTATATGGTTGACTAGCAGTAAGTCTTCAACCATTAGATTCCTTGGAGATCAATGGCCAAAAATGCAGGATGAGTTTAAGCTAAAATGATAGCGTATAAGGCTTCACTTATTAACATCTTTAATTCTTGAAATTGTTATGTTATACAACTGTTGAATTGAAGGTAAAGCTTTTATGTCATACTTCAGTTTTTAGATATAAGGTTTTGAATTTTACTATAGGGAAGTGATTTTTAGACCCAACTATTTTTGTCTTTAGCCCCTATCTTCAAGTTTAGTGGGGATAATCGTAATAAAAAAAATGTATTCATCTTCTTCTATATTTTTACTTTGACATTTTTTCTTCTATATTTTTACTTTAAAGTTTAAAAGAATTAAAAATAAATTTAAATGAATCAGAATTAACAATAAAATATGAGATCAGATCAATTAGAATTTACAATTATATCCTCACTTAAACTTGAAGACAGGGCTAAGACAAAAATAATGGGAGCTAAAAATCACTTCCCTCTACTATAACCTCCAGAAAATAGATTTAACACCTTAAATATTTTTAAGAAACACGTTATAATAATCTATTTTATGAAAAAAATTATAAAAATAGGATTTTGCAGCTTTTAGGATTTAAAACGCCTTTGGAAAGTCAATTACAAAAAATACCCTTCACATATACAATATAAATTTAAATAAAAACTTAATTCATTAAATAAATAATTAATAGTTTATTTAAACATTTAAAAATATTAAAATGGTAGGAAATTGTCAATCAAATGAGATCAACAAATATCAAAGTCTACAAAAACCTATTTTAATAATATAATTTGACAAATCACTCCCAATTAAACTAGCCCTAGAAGCTTCGGTTGAATTTGATATTTCAACAATCACTTAATAGCTTGCTGACCTGTCAAATGCTAACTTAATTAACAATAGACTAAAAAGTAAAAAGTAAGTTGACTTGGCAAACTACCTTGAAAACACAATTTGGCAACAACACTTTAGAATCAACAAGACACACAATTAATGAATTTTCAGTCGGAAATTAATAAATATACAACCCTTTTATTAAATCTCTTGCATTGGTGACACATCAACCTCCTTTACCATTTCGAGCAACTTATATAAATCCCTCATACTGGAAGTCTACGCCTATCATCATCATTCTTCTTATGACATTGAAATTTGGTCGCCAGCGGCTTCTTAAACCATTTACTACGATGAACCTTCTTAATCCACTTGCAAAACTTGAGCACAGTTGCCTTAAATGTAAAATACATAGGGACTTGCGGGAGTGCATATATGCTTAACGAAATAAATGCAGCAGTGTACATGAAAATGTAGGTCCAATGTGGCTTTTGGAAACGTAAGGTGAGTAAGAATGCTGCCGCGAATGCAATCGTTGTAGTACAAAATGAAATGAAGAGTAAGGAGAAACCTATTGTCAGTTTTCCAGGGAGCATGTGAAGGAATTCTTCATAACCAATAGGTGAAGTGAAGACTGATAAGAACATTACCACCGAGGCCAAGGAGCAGAGAAAAGCAACAATGACCATCAATTCGAATAACTGGAATAAATTGTCGCTGAGGAGAACTGGATAATCATTATCATTGGAACCTCTAGGTACATTATAGACAACTGTGAACACCACGGTGGCGGCGAGAACAGCCACTGCAAAGCAAGACTGAGAAGTCTCCTTTACCTTTCTCTGTGCTTCATTGAGTAGTTTATTGTGCTTCATATTGAAGAGTTCATCGCAAGTCTTGTTATCCTTAGAATCAGGCAACATGAGGTAGTGGGGCCGCGTCACCTTCTCTACACACTGCATATATAAACATATAGCAACACTTATTGGTTCTTAAATATGCCATTGCCACCGTAATTAACGCATAAACTAGAGTACATACAATGGGGGTTTTCAATTATATTCTCTAAAATTTTATTTTTTTGCTGTTTTAAAATTTCATTGTTAGTTATCGGATTCGAATAATGAATAAAATTTTAAAAAAGAAAAGATATTTACTTATGTATACCTGAGGACACGGGTCATTTTTTAATCCATACATGATTAAAATTTTTGAAGTAGGAAAAAGATGGGCTTACTTTGTACCACTTCAACTCTTCTTGCAGTTGGTATACAGGTCCTGCAGGGTGAGTTTTTGTAGTGTCATCCCTAATGTTTGCAGCATGGTGTAAAATGGTGTAGCCATTTTTGTCAATCCCTTGGACTAACCTTGTCATTTGTATCTTCATCCTTTTGACATGATCAAATATCTTCTTTTGACGGTGCTTAATGGCCACGTGCAATATGTTTTGCTTTAGATCATTCTCAGACTCAACTAATTGGGGATAACATTTAAGTATCTCTTTGACAATCTTTATTATTCCTCTTTCAGTTGCCATAAATAAAGGGCTTGGCTTAGAATCTTCTTCAATCGGTGCTTTTTAGGTGATGAAATTGTTGGGAAGAGTTCAAGTCTTAAAGCAAAGTAAATTGACATAACTTTTGCTATTAGGCTCTTGGCAAGTCTTAAAGCAAGTTTATGCTTTCTCTTTGCTTCGCAGATTTTTCTTGTTGGTGAACAGATTTTTCCTAATATCCACCATCCTATTCATGTTTATGGCATTTACATGATTCATACAATGTAGCAAAGTAAATAAAAAGGGAACAGAAGTCAAATTCTTATTTAAAAATAAATAAGGTAAATTCTTAACTGTTACCTTTAAAGAGATTAAAACAACAATGTTCTTTGTCATCTACATCATCACCAAAATGAAAGCCTGTAGGGTTTGTGTATTAATAAAAAGTACATTTCATTAACAAAGGTTTCTTTTTACATATATGTTTGAAGGCACATATACTAAGAAATTAAATCATAAAAGTAAAGTTTCATTTATTACCTTTGAAGGGATTAAAACAACTCCTCTTTTCATCATCATCAGCTATACGGTCATTGACCGGAAGGCTTATAAATTTAGAAATTAATAAGAAATATATAATTATCATTAACAAAATGTTCTTTTATATTGCATGTATTAAGGGCACACATCGGAAGAAATTAAAACATATAAATATAGTGTTAAGTTAATAAAATAGTTTCAGTTTAAAATTATATGGACCAATTGGTCACCAAATTAAAGTTTTAATGATATATCAAATCATTCATACCCTTTTTTTTCATCATTTATTTATTTTTAAATAATTTCATATTAGCAAAAAAGTTGTTAATAGAAAAATATAAAAATAGAGTTGTCGCACGCTTAACTGCATACATACAGTTATTTGTTTTGGATGAATTTAAGTAGTTTTAGATTTTTTTTATTGTTTGCTTTTCATATTATATCTTGTTTTAAGATAAATACACTGAATAGAATAAGTTAAATTTCATAACTTATTTACAAAATTGAAAATTATTAACTTATATTCAAATTTTGAAAATTATTAACAAACACATTGATTAAATAATTTAAATGCCTTTATTCATTAATATATATAAACTTATATGAGAATGTTAAATGTGACCTAGAATTTATTTATCTGAAAAACTTGTTAATCTAGTTGAGCAATACATAGTTGTCGGATATTGAATTTTGGCAGTTGAAAATTGTTTTTAGTGAGTTTCAATAATCAAATTCGAAAAACAATTTTAGTGAGTTTCAATAATAATAATAATAATATTGGTGTTAAAATGATCTTCTTAGTCGGGACCTGACTTACAATGAAAGTTTCAATACCAAATGTTCCAATCAAATCCTCAATAAACACCACTTTTATTACTATTTTTAATTACATGGACCAATAAATCATATAGAGATAATCATTTCAATATAAATTTGTGACACAAATTCTTAACTATTGAATCAATTTGATCCAATGACTTGATGAGATGTTAAGTTAACTATTTTTAAGTTACTAGATTAATATAAATTAACGATCATGAATTTGTTTCACAAATTTATAAATATGTTAAAAAAAATAAAAAACGAACAAAGAAATAAACACCGTTCAGTCTAATTGATATTAGAAAAGAATAATACTACACCAACAATCCTCTCTTACAAACTTTCTCTCACAATCCTGACGTGACAGTTCGTAATTGGTCAGTTTACAACGGGTCTTACATGGGTCATTGTGAACTGATCAATTATGAGCTATCACATTAGAGTTGTAAGAGATAGTTTGTGAAAAAGGGTTCTTGATGTAGTATTACTTATAAGAGAAATGCTACCCATACCGTTATAGCGGGTTAAACCCATGTAAAGTGATTGGCATGTGATGTAGCAACTTATCACTTGGCACATCATCATTTAATAATTAATTAATTATATTAATTACAATAATTTATTTAACCCAAATTCAAAAAAAAAAAAAAAAAAAAATAGTTAAGTGTCATAAAACGCCGATAAACCCAAATCTTCAAAGGGCTGCTCACCGGACAAAATCTGATCGGCCTACAAGAAGCTAGCCCTCTAACGCCACCCTGACAAGCTACTGCTTAGTTCCAAGAACTTGGTCATGCTTATGAGGTCCTCTCCGACCAGAGAATTCTCACCGCTCTTAGATTCTTTCTCCCGACCTCAGTTCGTCGTCGAACTCCGGATCCAACTTCGTCATCCCCAATCTCTTCTCTTATTTCCCAAACACCGCCTTTTACGGGTATTTAGATTCGGGGAAAGGTTTTTATAAGGTTTATTCGGATTTTTTTGATAAGATTTATAGGAATGAGATCAATTTTGTTAAAAAATTAGGTTTGGGATTAGATACGTTGCGGGAGGCATCAATAATGAGGAGTTTGGAGAGTCAGTACAGTCAGGTGACGGTATTTCATAATTATTGGTTAGGGTTTAGTACAGTGATGGATTTTTGTTGGGTGGACCAATATGATGTTATGGCAGGGCTGAATAGAAAATCTAGGAGGGTGCTGATGCTTGATTTTGACACCAACGACTCAAACGTGCAAAGTGCTAAGCGAGCTTAGAAATTACATGTGATATGAAAATATGCAGTGAGAAAATAAATAAGAAGTAGTTTTTGAAGTGGTTCAGATGCTCAAAAGCGAATCCGACGTCTACTGTAGTCATATTAATGGATGATTATAGTCAGGTCGTGTACAACAAGCTGAATTATAACCTAGAGAGAATGTAGAGAGACAAAGAGAGAATGTATGTTGTTTAAGACTAAAGATAAGCCAATCCCGTAGATAAGAGATGAGCCCTTTATTTATAGTTGGAGGATTCAAGGTAATAATCATAAGCCTACAGTCTGGCAGGTGTGGTACAATTCCTAACCCGCTTCCCATTGGTTGTCTACATGAGAGACATCCATAAATTACGTAAGGCTTGGGCAGGTGGACAATTCCTAGCCATTCACAAGCCTATCATTCACCTGTCGCACTAACAATAACCATACCTCTTTCGTCCTTAAGCGATGTGGTAGTGTCTAGACGGCACAAAGCCTCCTTGAACTCTGATTGGCCCTTGCTGACGAGAGTCCACGTCAGCCCTAACTTTTTAGGCATAACAAAAGCTCCCCGGTTTTTAAGGTTTAAGGATTGACCCTTGAGAACTTCATGATTATGCCACGACTTGACTTATCCCGAATGACGCTTGATCGAGCTGTAAGGAGTTTGCAGCATAGGTCTCTAAGACTAGCACAAGCGACCTGAGGCGACCTTCTCCCACAGGTTCAGCGACCTGGGTCAGACCCTACTCAGTGTCATACCGACATGCTTTGAATCTTATCCGTAGCTCGCGACTTGAGAATACTTAGCATATTTTTACCAAAAGCAAGGAATCACATCGTCTTGAAACCGATACAAGACGAAGAGTGTTTTACTCGAACAACTCTTCAAATGTTATCTGTTGCGTTTGACAGCTAGTGTAGTCAATAAAATAATTTTTATTCTGACAGACGTGTCTATTACGCAAGAAGTGGCAGCCATGCGCATTAAAAGCAAGCCATGCTGAAATGAAATTCCCTTTCAGAGCATTAAATGCAGATGATGGTGCATTTAATGTGGAGGAGGTAACCGCACCGATGCTTGATTGCTCCAATGGAGGGAAGCGTTGATTGGCATTCACGAAGCGTGAAGGTTACTTTTTCTTGCAGATTAACAACACGTGGTTGCAATCAATAAAGAGAAACGTATCTCGCCCAAGCATCGCTTGCTTAGGGAAACCAATCATCTCTTTTTCTCCCTATACAACCCCAAGTTCGCCTCAAGTTTTATCACAGAACTCACATTTTTAGAGAAAAAATAAAACTCTTGCAAAATCAATCCGCCCTTCTTCCAGTTTATGCACCCTCTCTGTTATGATAGGAAGTTCGTTCCCAGTAGTCAAGAGGTAAGGAGGACTTCTCCTTCGTTTTCTTCTATTATTTTGTTACTAGCTTGACTTTGTGGTAATGGTGGGTATGAACTGCCTAATAAGCTTTTATGGTGCGTATTTCTAAACAGTGGTGAGAGGAGAGCTTTTTTCTTTATAAAAAGTGAAAACTTAGGGCATGAATCCCCATTCCTCAAGGTTTTTTAGGGTTTTTCTAGGGATTAAGGAAGATACATTAGGGTTTCTTTTGCTCTTCCACTTTATCGTATGGAATACTATACAAAGACTGAGTTATCTCTGCTTGTCGCCCCTTTTTTAGACTTTAGGAGCAATGGATACTTCAGCGACTAGAGTAGGTGAGGGGACGAGCTCACAGGTGTCGAGCGCCCCAGTAGGTCCCATGCAAGAGACCTTATCAGTGGCCACCCGGGACGAGACACAGAAAGCAATGGATGTTATGACTCTCTCTCTAGCTAGTATACTCTTAAAATAAACAGTAAAACTCACTAAATATATATATTACGAAAATATACATGTAGATGAGTATAAAATAATGGGCCCAATTTTTCTTTATATATACAAAACTATACATAGTGTAAATAAATTTCTCAAGAAGCTCGACAGTATTGCCCGACCCTTTCGTATCTTGACATTCCAAGCGATCGTATCTCATTTACTACCTGCAAAAACATTGAAAACAACAGGGTGAGCGCTAATTGCTCAGTAAGTAAACCCGCTATGCTACCCTTCTATCTTCGTTGCTCATATTCTGAATTCTTTCCTCACATCACACTTCTCTTTTCTTCTCTGTTCTTTTCTATTCTTTCTCTCTGTTCTTTCTCTATTCTTTTTCTGTTCTTTCTCTCTGTTCTTTGTCTATTCTTGTTTCTCACTTACTAACATGTAAGCACAATTGGAGAAACTAATTTTGAATAATATGAATGCTATGATGCATGTGTATAAATGCATAAAGAAAGCAATTTCTTTTCTGTTTTCTATTTCTCTTCTTTCTTTCTATTATGTTCTTTCTTTCTGTGTTCTATTCTTTCTATTATGTTCTTTCTTTCTATGTTCTA